CAGCAAAAGGGTTATTTCAAGCCCAGCCGAAGCCAGGATATCGTGGTATCGCCAGATCCCACCGCGCCCACGAAAGGCGGAGCTTACGGAGATTCTTGGGTTTCAAACGGTTCGGGAAGCGTAAATGCGGCGAGACTATTTCCTTACGCCCGTGGGTGCCGCGCTCCCGACTCCCGGCTCCTGATCTCTTTCCATACAACAGCAGTGCAGCTCCCGTTTTCCCCGTAGTGAGCGCAGGAGTATGCCCGGATCGGATACATCAATATGGAAAGCTGTTGAGCCGTCCAGCTCCGGCCTGCCTGACTCGGAGCCCGCGGGGCGCTGTGGCCATGGTGAGTGGACCCAGAATTTGTTGCGGTGCCGGCTCAAGCTGGAACATGCTGCACCGCTCCCACCTGTTTATGGTTGGTGCTAGTGGTAAGGACGTGTCGCCTGCGCTCGGCTGCAGTCGAGAGTGTTGGGGTTTGAGTTATTTTATACCGGGTCACTGGGTCGTAGTGATCCGCCACAAGTTGTATTTCCATTGGTGACATCTTGCAACGAGGAGCAAGCGGTTGTGCTACAAGTCCCGCACCCACAAGGGGTACAAGGGGGCTGCGGCGGTTTGTTCAACATCTGTGACGGACTACATTGTTGTGCACGGGATGCATGCACCTGTCTGATTCGTGGTCTATCGACTCTTTTGGCATCTGGGGTTCCTGGTGTTCCCCAAGGCCAGTCCCTCTCTCCGTCTCCCCCTCACCATCGTCCGTCTGTCCTGTTGAGAACAGCCGATGACCGATGACACCAAGCTCTGCCGTACCCGTCCATTGAATGCCCTCATCCCCCTTTCCTGGCCCGGCAGGATCTACCAACAGGTCCTGTGGCTATCAAAACGACAGAGCCAAGAAGAAAAACCTTATGTAGCTCACACCAGATACCCACAAGTCCGGGCACACGAAGTGTAGCAGCAGTCCACGGTTGCCTCACTGCTTCATGTATCCCACGTACAAACTTGTGAATGTATTCTGCACGGGCGTGCATGATGATGTACCCCTTGCGTAAACGTTGTACCGTCAATACCAGCACGTATCTCGAACGCAAAAAATAGAGCAGAGCGTGTGCAAGGAAGTGCAAGCGTGCGGCATTTTCCTTTACTGTTCTTTTCTTTTTCCCTTTTGATGTTGTGCCTGCCCGAGTGTTGCATGTGTGAGGGAGGTGTTGTTTTGTGGAAGGGATGGACAACCTGAAAGAGCTCGTGCATCTCAACGTCCGTTGGTGCCGTATTGCGAGTTGTCTGGGATATGATGTGTAACGAAAGAGGCATGCCACCAAGCAGGCCGCCAATCTTTTTTTCAGGGAGAATCAACCAAAACATACAACAACACATCGTGCCGTGCGGAAGTATGTTTACAGGTGCTGTGGCATGAGTTGACTTGTGATTCGTGTCGAGCTCTCCTTTTCCTATTTCCCAGCTAGTGCGGCACTCAAAAGCCAAGTATTTTTGTGCATCTCTCGCGCTTAGAATAAGGCGCCAGCTCCGCAACAGAAACGAACGGAAACATATAGACACACACATACACACCTCTCCTTCCCCCTCGGCCTGCTCCCCGACCGGGACCGAAATCGACCTAGTGAGTCCCTCGCGGGCGAACCAGGCCACAACAGATAGTAGGCGGGTGGTGTCCCAAGGTGCAACTCACGCCGCGCTGGCTCAGCGTGGCGGTGAGGATGCACAGACGGTGGTAGTGGCGAGAGGTGTGTATGGACACTGTTCCCGCGGCAGTAATGCAAAGCGGCAAACTGCACCTGGCAACCACCGTCGCGGAAAGCGTGGCCCACGAAGCTGGAGGAGTAGAGAGATTCGTAAACACCACGTCAGTAAGCACCGCTCGCGGGAGAAGGGAGACAACCGCGGGCACCGTGGGGAGGGAGTGCTGCACCCTCCTCGTCAAAACACCACAGGCAAGAACCGAGCTCTGCAGAGATTGATTGATGTGAAGAAACTCGCCGCTCGGAAAATACGGAAGAAAGCACACCCGCAACGCAAGGCGGACCGAGAGAGACACGAGACCGCAGCGGCCGTCAAGGCGGCTGCAAAGTGCCTTCGAGGGCGGCCTATCGTTCGACACGTTCAACGTACGCACGCTCGCCTACAGCGNCAAGGCAGCTGCGAAGAAGAAGGCACGAGAGGGCGACCTATCGTTCGGCACGTTCAACGTACGCACGCTCGCCTACAGCGGTAGGAACCCCATCGGTCACAACGTGATGACGGTCATGCAGATTTGTTCCGCGACCGGCTGTGATGTGACAGGACTTCAGGAGACCCGACGAGAGGGGCAAGGTTCAATTGCATACGACGGGTACGTGATCAGCTGGAGTGGCGCCCGTGATGGTACCAAGGACAAGAGGGGCGTACACGGTGTGGGCATAGCGATCAAGGAGGCCATGTGGGAGAGTGTGGGCGAGGAAGGTAGGACGGTGGAGTGCATTAGCCCGAGGCTGATGAAGGTGCGCCTTCAAATTGGCCACACCTGCGGAGTAATTTCCGTGGTGGGGTACGCCCCCACGGAAACTGTCCGCACCACCGCGGGCGGTGATGTTAACGGCAAGGACTCCTTCTGGACTGCTCTCGACGCAGCGATCCGGGAGGTTCACAGCCGTGACCCTCTCGTGGTGCTAATGGACGCCAACGCACGCACTGGTTGGAGGCGAGACGGGTGCTGCGATGCCAAGATTATGGGCGCGTACGGACGCAACATCATGAACAACAACGGGGAACAGCTCCTTGGACTGGCATCAGACATTCAACTCTCCCTGACCAACACCTACTTCCGGACACCGAAGGTGGAGTGCAGCACACATTCCAGAGCTCCAACAAGGGGAAGGAGAAGTACCGCCTCGACTTCATCCTCATGCGGCAGACGGACCGGCGTTTTGTGCGTAATGTCTCCGTCAAAGGTGTCGACTTCAAGGACTCTTGACCACAACCTCGTGCTTACGACTGTCCGCCTCCCCCCCCGTGTCGCACCCAACCGACGAGTGCGGGGGACCAGCGGAAGCAGCCGGATCCGTATCGACTTCGAGAGGTTAACGAAGGACAAACACCTACGTTTCGCCTTCCAAAACAGGGCCTCCAGCCGCCCTCCGCCCACGGCGCTCAGGCGGCCAACGGGAGAGACCNTCTCCGTCAAACTTGTCGACTTCAAGGACTCCAACCACAACCTCGTGCTTACGACTGTCCGCCTCCCCCCCCGTGTCGCACCCAACCGACGAGTGCGGGGGACCAGCGGAAGCAGCCGGATCCGTATCGACTTCGAGAGGTTAACGAAGGACAAACACCTACGTTTCGCCTTCCAAAACAGGGCCTCCAGCCGCCCTCCGCCCACGGCGCTCAGGCGGCCAACGGGAGAGACCGCCGCCGAGCTGACGGCTACGGTGATGTCGGCCGCTGCAGAGACCGCGCCGCTGGCGACGTGCACACGAGGGCAGAGAGGCTGGTACACGAGCGAAGCGCAGCACGAGATCTCCGAAGCGCACGTACCCGTCGTGTGCAATTGAACCTTGCCCCTCTCGTCGGGTCTCCTGAAGCCCTATCACATCACAGCCGGTCGCGGAACAAATCTGCATGACCGTCATCACGTTGTGACCGATGGGGTTCCTACCGCTGTAGGCGAGCGTGCGTACGTTGAACGGCCGAAGATAGGTCGCCCTCTCATGCCTTCTTCTTCGCAGCTGCCTTGACGGCCGCTGCGTTCTCGTGTCTCTCTCGGTCCACCTCGCGTTGCGG